TTTAATTTTGTTGATGAAAAAGTCTCCGTGAGAGACTAATCTATCTTGCACTAAGGGTGTTTTCAGGTTACCGTATTGCATGGTAAGTTACTGTCAGTAAACGACCACCAAGCAGTCAGTCAATATTGTTTACACCGTAATCTACGTTAACATCAACTGATGAAAGGACAGCAGTATTGAAACTTATTCAAACAGTGTTCGAACTTTAGGTACTACAAATTGCTGGAAACCAGTGCAAGCTATGGTGCTTGATGAGAAGAGTCTATTTATTCACATTTCTGTTTGTTTTGATAAACTTTCAGTGCCCAAAGGGGCCAGCCATTACCCCCACGCGGGATGGTTGAACGGTTTGGAAAGAGTTTTGCACCCGGCCGTGTCCACTTTCACCCGTGTTCGGATCTTTTAGATGAGAAGTTGGAACACGGATGAAGTGTATTTCACCGGCGAAAACACGGAAAATCGTCATCCGTACAAAATACGATGCTTGGCAGTCGATTTTTTTTTTATTCGATTTGCTTTATTTATATAGAATCAAAACGAATTTGGCTGGTTTATATAAGCTATTCAAACATTATTAGTTTAAGCATATCAAGCAGTTGAATATTATTCAAACGCTAATAGTATCAAGCAATATAATTCTCCCTACACGAGCTATAATTTATTCCCAGTTTATAACCTTACGTGACCTCACTAATGTCAGATCAGGAGCCAGCCATCAAGAATGTTCGAAAAATGGAAAAGACACGGTGAAACTGACGTTAAAGTGTGGGCTTTTATGGTACACTGTAAAAGTAAGGAAATGAATGGGTTTACATGGAAAGGAAGTTGCTTTATGGTGATTTATTTTTGTTCAAATTCAAACTGCCAAAAATCCCAACTACGTGACCACGTCTATGATTAATTGGCAATATTTTGCTCATTAAGTGATATTCTTATTGCTTGTCGAGAGATAGGTAGCCTACCTACCTGAGATAGGTAGCCTACCTACCTGAGCAGGTCAAGCAAAAAGCATATCTTTGTGACTATAACATTCAACTTTAGAATGTCACTATATTAAAAAAAAATATGGGTTCATTCTTTGCACGCAGTTGATATGTGGGTCTTTTTAAAATTACTTCTCCCAACAATAAAAAGAGTGCAGTCACGGCTTCGATGATGCCTGTTATTCAATTGCGTGCAGATAAGTCAAGTGATCGAACCGCGTTGTACGGTCCTCGATTGTTGCAATGTATCAGGTCTTTTCATGTCTACCAGTGTAACACCGAAAAGTGTTCTGATAGAAAATGTCGGAAACATGAAGCCGACTTACTTAGCAAAGGTCGCTTGTGAAAAGGAGAAAGCAGAATTGAGCACGAAACAAACTAACATGTCATGACGAGCCAAACACTTTTAAAAAGACGAGGTCAAGAGGTGAGTCACAGCAGATTTTGTAAACGTTTCTCGACCCATTTCTGTAACGTGTACCTCTAAATTTTGCTCTGGTCCATATTTAACTTATTCTATTAATTTGCTTCGCTTAAAAATTGAGAGGAGCTTCACATTGGAAACTTTTAACTGCAACATGTGAAGTGTTAATCACTTCAAAATGGCGGATATTGAAAATTGGCTTACTTCAGGAATGTCTTGTTGTACAGATACAAAAGATCCCAGGGAAATAAAACGGTATAAAGTTGAAGCTATCCTTGAACATAGCTCAGGAGATTTCCTGGTCGATTTCATTGCGTACCGCGGGCATTTTTGGCACGTTTGTTTGAAGTACCAACGAATCTATTTCAGAGCAGCTGTAGGTGCACTTGAAAAAAAATCATATTTTATTTTTAAGGAAAGGTTATGAGTTGGTTGTGCTGCCAATCAATTGCAGAAGCATCAGACGAATAGGGTTAGTTTTAAACTAATTTAAAACTTACAATTAACTGACTCGACAGCGCCACGAATTATGACAATTTCAAAGGTTTTGTTCAAGAAAATATTGTAAACCGTTTCAAATAGATTCAGTCTCCTATACAAGCGAGAATTTTAACAAACGGACATTGCTGTCATATTTATGGGACTAAGCCTACCAATGGACAAAGTATGAGCGAAATTGAATTTTGAGCTGTGTCCCCTATTTCTTTGATTTTTACTGACATTTACTTTTAAAGAGGAATAATGAGAAATTCTTTTCTATCATCCAGGAGTTGTTGTGGTTATAGACTTTATTTTTAAACCTCTTATATTGTAATATTGTTGATGTTCATGTTTCAGTTTTTAAATACTTGTTATAGCTCCATGAGCATATTGAGAGAACCTCAAAGCACATCTTTTAGTGATAAATGAACCAACAGATTGTTTCCAACCAAACCAAAAAGGATAAGGAGAACTATTTCTGTAATTGTTGAATAGCCAAATAAACTTATAGTTTCATTGGTAGCTTGTAATTGTTTATGTTCTTATTAAATACATTACATCTGGGCAGCACCCCTTTACTTATTAGTTACACTCCAAGTTTTAAGTTCATTACATCTGAGGATAGCACATGTTCATGTTCATGTTACTGTAAACGTCCATGTATAAGCCGCACTTTTTTTTCACAAAATTGAAGCCAAAAATCCAGGGTGCGGCTTATCCACGGATACATCTGTGTTTGGAGTTCTCAAAAACCTAATTAATATTCATAAAACTTCATAAGATGCCAAGGAATAAACATAAAAGAAACTGAGAGCGTGTTGCTGTAGTTCATTTACTTTTTCCTTGAGTGGTGGCTCCTAAAGGAGTGTTTATCGGCGAATCTTGCTCTCCAAGAGTTCTTTCAAGCCATTAATTTTCGCTTTACTCGAACAGCTGAACACCAATATACAAGGAATCTCCATTCCTCCACACAACTGTTTGCAGTGACGTCTGCGGCCAGTCACTTCCACGCGTATCTTTCCGCCACGTGCGATAAACGGTACCACAAAATTCGCGAGTACTCGCGAGGTAAATGGCCGACTGTTTTCGTCAGTTTTTTACTACCTTACATGGCAGATTTGTCGACTGCATTATCAGGCTCCTGTTCTGCATGGAGTTTTTCGCCTATTGCGGGTTTGCAAACATCTTAATACTCGTGGTATCCCCGAACAGCTGAGTCGAAAGTAAATTTCTCCATGTTGGAACTGCGATGATGCATTTTTATAGTTTACTCGACCCTGTCCCCAAATCAGAAGTGATAATCTCGAAAAATCGGATCGGAAGAGCATTTTAAGTTAAAGATGGTGTAAATGTCCAATGAAAAAGAAGATACGACAAATGAAATTTCGCTTTCTTTAGACTCGATAAATGTGAAAGATAGCCACAACTTCGATGTCGGTGTTTCGAAACCTTGATTGTTTGTAGCATTACAACTCTACTGAAACTTCAAACTGTGCTATTTTTATTTTTTTCCAAATTCTGCGTCTCCAAATCGGGGGTGCGGCTTATCTACGGATGCGGCTTATACATGGACGTTTACGGGAAATTTTGACCGAAATCCTGTGGATCATTATGCAAGCAACTATGCAGCTGCTATGAGACCTGGCACCTTGTTGATTTTCAAAATTACTGCTGTTAACTGAATCAGTGAGGAAAGTAATGTTTCTAGATAGTTCACTATAACTTATTAGCACGTTATGTTTATGTTAAGGTCTGACAGGCAAAGAGTTGAATTTGATAAAGAATACGATTATTTCTGAAAAAAAACTGCTTATTTCAAGGCGAGCTTCTCTTATGGAACACTTTTATCGGGACCCAGGGCACTTCAATTAAAACGTATCAAACCTACTCTCTACAGAACTCTCCTCAAGTATACAAATTGAAATACATGTATCAGCCATTCACATTAGCGTAAGTACGTAGGAGGGACGGTTTACTGAATTAAAAGCTAGAAGAATTGTGGAAGACTTACGTTTGATATAGCTGAATGATAGATAGTTTTAGCACTTTTGATTTGTGGAAACTTAGGTTTGATATTGCAGGTATAGAATAAAGTTTTTAACACTTTTGGAGAAAGAAAATTGATGTAGGTCTTTAAACTTGTAAGGCAGTTAATGCCAAAGATCAATGGCCATAAATGATATCATTTGTTTGCCAGTATTTGTTTTTACTCGAAATTTGTGAAGATTTTGTTTGGCCGCATACCTGGTGTTATAATTATGTACGTTATCAGCATACTGGAAAAAATGATTAAAGAGTTCTGGGAGAGCACCTTTGTGCCATGCATGAATAAATTTGAGAGCATACAAGCGATATATGTTAGCTACCGTTAACATAATCAAGATATTAAGTAGAGGCAGTGCACTATCGGTATTTTTGCCAGATAGAGTTGCAAAGAACATTAACCTAATAAAATGATTTTGCTTTGTTTGTATGTTATGCATTTATGCATTTCCTGATCTTAACTGATATGGGATAGATCTTGTCATAACTATCGGAGCTAAGCATGTGTATACCTTGGGCATGTCTTCTGGCATGACTCTTTTGCGCTTCAACAACCTAAGTGCGTAATTTCTTAGCTGCCTTGGAAATTACGTATTCAACGTGAGTGTTCCAGTAAGGTCATCGCTAATTATAACTCCTAATAGCTTATACGCTCTTACTCGCTCTACTTGGTTTCCATCACTTATAGGTGGCATTGCGGTAATCGAATTCTTCATAAAATGTACGTATATTTCTTTTCATTTCGTGGGATTTTTGTTTACTCTGCTTCTTTATTTAAGGGAAAAGAATTTCGCTTTATGGTTGTCACTCTCTTAAGAGCAAAGTAAGGTACGCAATGCAGCATCCGCAGAGTTTGCGAACGTGTGAATGCTAATGAAAGCACATTTTTTTTCTGAGTTATTTGTGCAATGATACAATTCATGATAGTGACATCGTACGTTATTAATATAATGACATTGCCTATCTGAAAAAGTACTCGTTGTGTTCCAGAAGAGCTGTTACTAAGCAACAGGGGCAATAAAAGTTATTATGTGGAAAATTTTGGTAAGGTCCTCAAAACATTTTCTTACCGTGGTAACTTGCCGCAAATCCAGACTTTTCCACTGACAAATCACTAGTAAAAACGACATGAAGCTTGTTGTATGTACTTCTAATGACTCCAGGTAGAATGTTTCCATGGTACTTCCCAATCAAAGGGGAGGAAGGAGATCCACCATTATACACGTAGACGTAGTCATACCCTGATTCTACCTCGAACCTGAAGAATATTAGTTCGATGTTTTTATTGGAAGTTATGTTCCAACTGCATTTCATATGGCGTCCATGAACACCAACCCTGTTTGAATATATCATTCCACTTGAACTTGATCGAAACGTTACAACGTTCGCACATGAACTTGAGACCGTTACGTATGGCTCCCCGTAAACTAAAAAAGAAAGAATCGAAAACGAAAGATAGTGAGATCAAACGAAAAAGCACAGAACTACACTGAGGTTATATTTATCCAGGTGTATCAGTGCGATATTCTGGTTGTCTTTTTTGGGGGATAGATAGCATGAAGAAGTTTTTTCTTCTTCATATTGCAAGCATAAGTGAGTCAGATTGTTGTTGTAGCTTTTGGGTTTTCGTATGTAAATGGTGCTAGTTGCGTAATGTTCGTATTGCAAGTACTGTTGGGTAATATAATGCAAGTAAAGAGTGCGCGCGCGCAAAAACATATAAGTGTCGATAACAAAATAGCCCTTACTGTGGTAGTTTGCAACGAATCCCGACTTTGTAACTGATCCGTCACTTGTAAAAGTAACATAGAGCTCAGAAGAAGAGCTTGTAATGCGACCAGGCAGCGAACTTCCACCATATTGGCCGATCAGTGTAGAAGAAGAATGTGGGCCATTATACACCTTAACTTTGTCATAACTAGACTCGGTTTCGAATCTAATGAATGCGAGTTCCAGCCTTGTATTGGAAGTTATAATCCACTTGCAGCTCAGGCTGTTATTGTAGCGTTCAAACATGTTAGAGAATATAATACCACTGGTGTAGGATTCAACAGTTAATAAGTTTGTACATGAACTTGAAGCCACCACAAACGGCTGTCCTTTTACTGATGAAAAACAAGATAAAAATAATAATTAAAAAATAACTAATACTATAATTGATTACTAATTCTTATTATGTAAACCGTGGTGTTTTACAAGAATTTTCATCCCTGAGAAAAGCCGTAACAGCACACGTGTAAAATTCCGATGGTTATTTTTACGTGAGTTAGATTCCGCCAATCAGTTGCAGACACGTCACTCGCCTTACACACCACTCTGTCAGGACGATAAATGATTTGCAACGCGTTCGCCATTCTCGATGGGCCACTTCCGAGTTCTCGCGGTTTAGTGATCTCGCGACGAAAGTACGGAGCGAGAGCGAGGCTAAGTGCGAAGTTGCCCTTATCTGTTTAAAGAATAAAGTGCTGTGGTAATGAAAATGAACGAAGATTTCTCGAAATTCGATGAGGGAAAGTGAAAAATTAGTTTTTATAGGGAGAAATTCAGTGAAGTGATGGCGGCAAAGGAACAAAAAAGCAGAACTGTTCGATGTATGCAAGAAAGCTGCAGCAATGAAGCAGATCAAACTAGTGGCTCTTCTGCAAGCTCCGTGGAGAGAACTTTGCGTGACGAGATCAAACAAAGGCTGCGTAGGAGACTAGTAGAAGTGCAGCCCATTAGTTGCATGACCTAGCGTGGACGTTTGATGGAGATAGTCTCTTTCAATAAGTTAGGAAACAGACAGTTTGATAAATGGTTGAGAACATTATTTATAAACGTACGCATATCTTACTATGGTATGCTGCGTGAAATCCAGAATTTGTAACAGAACCGTCACTTGTAAAAGTAACATACAGCTGGTCAGCTGAAGATAGCCCAGGCAGAACGGTTCCCTTATATTGGCCAAACAAAGAGGAGGATGAGGACGGGCCGTTGTACACAGAAACAATATCACAGCAGCTCTCTGTGACAAATCTGATGAATTTTAGTTCAATATCTTCGTCCGCAGAAAACATCCAGTAGCAGTTCATGCTATTCAAATAGTTTCCACTCTTGTTTGAATATATCATACCAGTTGTACTTGTTCCTATCGCCAAGACGTCTGCACAAGAACTTGTAGCTATCACAGACGACTCTCTACATGCTTAAATTTGAATGAACACAGCAAATAGATTTATCCACTGAATCACTTTACTAATTAATCAAGCGTCCAGTCAAGCGTTAGAAATTCAGCAATCATTCAATCAGTGAGTCAAGCAGCCAATCAATCAATCAATCAATCAATCAATCTTCGCACTGACGAAGGTCTTAAGCCTCGAAACGTCAGCTTTATAAACTCCTTATGGTGACTAATTTGCATCATCAACTTAGCTGATAGTGCAGATAGCGATAGTTGATCAGTCAATCAGCAAATTTATCAATCAGGCAGACAGACAGCAATTCAGTTAAACAATGTGGGCTTGACGTACACGTACCTGAGCAAGACTGTTCACCATCTCCTTCATATCCAGGTTTGCAGATGCAATCATACGAGCCAATCACATTTACACATTGAGCAAACGCGTGACAGATGTAGGACCCCGTTTGACACTCATCCACATCTGCGTAGTATGAACAATCATTGTCAAGAAACAACACTGGATTAAGGTAAGAAAAAGTCGCGAAAAATTTATAGCCCTAGTCCAGACATCTTGCGTGACCCAAATATGATACTACACGATATTGACTTTGGAGTATTTTCTCGACGTACTGTTCAGTGACTTTCAACTTTGGAAATAATTTACATTTCGCAGTAGGAAGACCATTACCCATCTAGGCTTTAACAGGCATTCCACATTCAGACGTTTGTTACAAATTCAACTAATTAAATTTCAGTAATTTTTGAGTAATTTTTTACCATTTGAGCCAAAGGGCAGCTCAACCAGGATGCATTGCGGGAGTAGTAGCCCTCCTCTGTATTTCTTTTACCACAGAAAAGGGAAGCCTACCGTGTGTGTAATATCATTCGACTAGGTCTTTGCAACTTTGGTCGAGAACTGGCTTTTTATACCCTCATCTGGTTTCTTCGAGTGTCTATCCACGTATTTTTGTCGTTTCGTTGCGCGTTTGCGATAATGGAGCCATCGAAAAAAAGGTCGTCTAGCAAGATGAAAAGCCGTCGTATTATATGGCTGACTAGGATTTTAATCTTTGGAGTTTGGCACGCAAGCGAGCAGCGAGTTTGGAGAAGCCTTGTTTTACAGCATTTCTGAAGAAAGTTAGACAACTCATTTCACCTCATGAGTGACCGATGGACGGGGAAACGTTTTCAATCGATCTCAAACCTAATCCCATGTAAGTTTTTGAGTCATGTATCTTTCGCTCTCATTGAGACAAATTCAAAGATGCATTTCTTCCAAATTTTATCTCGATATCCTATATTGATCATGTAAATTTTGAAACATTGTGAGTTTTTATCGAACGTGGAGCGATACGAATTTATTCATAGAAGGCGTGGCGCTTCTCCCATTGCGAATCCTTTCTTTGCGCCTGATGAAGGACACGAATAGAAATTCAAGTGTTCGCAGGTCTTAGTCTCTTTGTAACGCGTTTGGACGTGAAGGGTCGATTCCCTGTTAAACCTTTCGCTTCCGTACCTTATTGTGTCTAAGAACATAATTACTGTGTCTGATATTTCAGCCGCGAATCGTGATTGTATCGTGGTATACAATGTACGGAATGAAGAGAATATAATCCCTTGAATGAATGTAGCTGTTTGCTCGTGTTACAAATTCTCCTATTTTGTCTTAAGTTTTGTTCCACTGACAGATCACAACAGGCCATCAACGCTATTTAATATTGTAGAATATATTAACACAGGATATCTCCTATTATTACCCGTGACCTAAGTGGAATAATTGTATTTCCTGACTTTAAATTCAGGTGGCGCAAGTGGCGAAAATTAGCGATCTTATCCGAAGGCTCAACGTGGTGTTTTGAATCAAGCGAATAGAGTGACGAAAAGTTTTTCCTTCTACACCGCTGGAACGATGGTAAATTTTTACCCTATTGGGGCGATTAACTGTTAACTGCTTAACTTAGCGACATTACGGGGAAACTAAACTCGAAACATCCGGTTGGCTCACGAAACGGCAGAAATCCATCACTAATTTCCGGGGGATCTGCGGCAACTGCACTTCAGGGAGCACTTGGTTTCACTCCTCAGTTCTTTAATGCTTCACAATACTCTCGAATGCAAGTCAAAGCAAATCCCGAATATAAATCTTGCATATAAAATCTCGGTGGGTGGAAATGTAAATCTAATCAAGTACCAGTTTCTGAAGCTATATTGTAGTAACCCATGGCGAAATTACAATCTATACCATTCTAAGTTTCGTTTTGGATAGAGAAAGAGACGGAAAAGAAAGAGTCGGGTTTATCATGATAATTCATTTGTATTTCACATTTGATCGTTTTGGCGTAGACTCATTTACTCGATTATTTTCCTTAAATTTTTTGATAGCTTTTCGCTGGTGTGAATAACTAGCCTGCTTGACTTATTGAACAAAACGAGCAAACGTATAAGGGAGCACCATCCATTATGAAGATTTTATTCTGTTTGTCTGTGGCGTTGCAAAGTTAAATGATAAAAAAAGGATTTATCAATCAATGGATAAGGAGATACAGCAAGAAAATGTAAAAAAAACTCTTAATCCTATATTTTATCATTTCTTGATTCTTCATCATTCACTTATTTACTCGTTGAATTAATTTTACCAAAAATAAATCATTCTAGTTTTTACATTTGCGAAAGGGAATTCAAAATAAGCGCTTTTTCGTTTGAACTGTTTACTTTTCCGGGACAAACTCTTGTAAGAAGCATACACCTGAAGGTTTGCAGTGATCACTTTCTTACACAGAATTGATCAATTTAAAAATGAAAAGCTCAAATGAATTAGGTTGGTGAAATAGATTCGATTACCGGAGATCGTGGAAGAGGAAACAACAAATAACAGTAAGCAAATTATGTACTGTGGTGATTCAGATTCTACGCCTCAAAGTGAATGCACAGATACTTATTTGTGCAGATGGATGTGTAGGAGGATGTGAAAATGTTATTTGAAAAGTTTGTGATATATACAGGTCTTAAATGAGAATCAACGCGGTGTTGACAAGACGACTTACGAAAGACTACTCAGGTAAAATAAACTAATTTACAAGAACTGGCCATGTCGAATGATGCAACACACGCATGAGAAATAAGTAACTCAAAGGTTACGTAATCAATACGTAACCTCGCGCAAAAGCGCAAATGCAATTCAATAGAGATAAAAAAACATTGCAATGGAAGGAAAATACGATACAGTATAAGTTATTTTGCAATTATTTAGCAGTTAGATGGTTATAAATGCTTCAGATTCTAAGTCACAAAGTGAATGCACAGATCTTAATTTAGGGTGCATGGATGTGTAAGAAGATGTAAAGATGTGATTTGAAATTTGTGGTGTATTCAGATCCGGCTCTTAGATTAGTATCAAGACGGTGCTAGCAAAAACTAACGTAACGAAGTGATTAACAAAAGGCTAGTTAAAATAAACTAACTACAAGAACTGGCCTTGTCGAATGATTCAACACAAGCATACTGGTGAGAAGTTGGTAACTGCAAACGTTACGTAATCATTACGTAACCTCGCGCAAAAGCGCGAATGCAATTCAATAGAGATAAAAAACATTGCAATGGAAGGAAAATACAATACAATATAAATTTTCTTACAATTATTTAGCATTTAGAGGGTTATATTAATTCTAGTTGCTACAGTTACCTTGGGAGCTAACGGGTAGAAAACAGCAGTAAATCAAAAGAAGTACGCCTCTCTTTGTGAAGTAGGACATGATTCGGTGCTTAATTAAATGTGTTCACCACACGCCAGCGATGAAAACTGCCCTAAAAAATATCTAAATGTACCTTTATTGAGAAAGGAAAAAACAACAAAACAATCATGTATCAAAAAACATGTATCAAATGGCCCATGTACATTATCTATGTTGCTTACTTGACCCGAGAGATAATATCCAAATGAAACAATTATTCAATTTGGTCGAGACAAGATTAAGCAGCTAACAGAAACAATGGGCCCGGGCGCACTTGGCAAATTTGTGTTTATTTTGCGAAAAAAATCTGTCATCAGTTCAGTGGGACACGTTTCTCAAAGATTTTTTATCCAGCTAAAGTTTTGCCCGGCGTTATTAGATTACCAATCTTCAAAGCCGCCGTCGTCCTGCATCGGATTCTCCACGATTTGAAGGAATACGTCAATAAAGAAAAATTTTAACTCCCTTTGTAGGTGCGATTCGTTCAGGCAGAACGTTGCCAAAACATTAAATTTTTACGCGGCAAACAAACGGTGAAGATGGAAGATTTGTACCTCGGGTGCAAAGGTGCATTATAACTGCCGAAAGCATGAATAAAGTGAAAAAGTAATACCATACCCTGATTGATGCAGATATGAGGGTAGTGGACAGCATTAGTTTTATGGGAAAAACAAAACTATAATAATACCTCGAAGATTACCAATGATTATTTTTCTACAAGGGATTTTAATGCTCGAGTAACCTAGCTCCGAAATGCAGTTGGGTTGTGAATAGACTTTGGGTTTGTTGTTTTCCTTGCTTTGTGATTACAAGCGAACTGTTAGGGCAAACTCTTCAAATATGCTCGCATAAAAGCCCTTGTTGGGCTCTAATTACAATGCCCTTTGGGTGGCTACACCATAGCAACCATCAATAAAGATGTTGTTTCATGAATGAACTTTGTTCCATCCACATCATCTTTTATACAAATGCGACTTTTTTCAAATACTGAGTCCGCTCATCCTAACATTGTTGCGTGACTTGACACGACAATCTCTCATTTACTAACATGGAATTCTGTCTAAGCGTTATTCGAGGCTGCAGTTTCAGTTTGATTCGCATCTAGTTTTGCTGTTTAGTTAAACCACGAAGTTGAGACAGTTATCAGGTGCATCATTACGCCCATTCATCAGTTTTGTAACAGATTTTGAGTTGCGTCACACGTTCAACAAACATGAAGAAGAGTTACTTCATTACCCTAATGCATTTTCTGTTTAGTTCTTGACATTTGGAGAGCGTGGAGCAGACACCACAAATCGTTTCGCTTACTGAACAGCTAAATAGACCTTTTATTAAGTCTAACATCAGACAGAAGATCTGAGTTGAAGTATGGCTCATCTCTTTAGTTTAAGGAGAAGGCATAACGCAGAGAAGGCACTTCACTTTCTGTCTGAGTTTCGAAACAACGTGCCGATCAATAATACATATCAGTCCTCGCCAATGCCTCTTTGACACTTGTTACAGAGTACAGACAATTTACAGAATAGTGTGACGTCTTTCTCAAAGGCATTTCTGGAAATTTAGGATATCGTAATTAACCCCTGTCAAAAGTTCTCGGTGTTCGATACGTAACAGTGCAATCACTTATGGAAATCTTGGCTTTATAATGCTGACCAAGCTTAGTAGACTAGATTAAACATTGAACATGACGTTCCTTTGGGTAACAAGTGGCTCTCCTTCGAACTGGTCTTGGTAGCGAAGCTGGTTTATACATATTTGGCTTTGATCCCGTGATGATTACAGTTCACTCAGTTGGTAGAGTACCGGATTGCCGGAAGCGTTACAATGTTCTTTTACTCTCTTTCATAGTAAGCTTAAATCTTACTCAGATGCTCGGCAAACTAGTTATTATGCGAATGGTTTAGCGAAGGGCTTTCAAGGCAATGCGGAAATTTAAGATAAACCACACAATAAAATCGAGTAATTTTCTTCTATAAGATATGAATAACGTTCATTATGAATGACCTTCCTTGACCTACAATAATCCACATCTAAAAATGCCTCTACATGCAGGATGCTATTATTACCTTTTAAGGAAAAATATGACGAAGAAATTCAAAACCATATGGTAAAACGTTAATCGAGATAAATGTACTGAAAATAATATGGCCAGGATCAATTTCATCAATGGGTTTTTCAAATTCGATATCTTATACTGTATGGGCATCAAGTGAATGACCTTCAAAATTGACATGCCATCCGGATCTACATTTACCTGCCAACATACATCTACTTATCACCTTTTAAAAGAACAGTATCACGGTTGGGCGCGCTTATTGAAACCAATCAATATCATGTATTCTTTCAACAGTCCGCCATCTTTTATCGTTACATATACGGCCACGAACGCATTAAAATTGATTAAAACAGCTCTATTTTATTGATCGATAAAGTTCCCTCTCGTTACATGCATTTCTTCAAGAGCCTTTTTAAGTCACAGGCGCCGACGTTGACGTTGACGTTGAACAGACCCTTCAACAAGGGCGAGGGTTCACTTGGAGAGCAAATTTTTCTCCCAATGGTTATTTTGGAACACGTTTTTTGCAAAAATCCCTCTGACAAAGTTATTGTCACTTTTTTCAGAGCGTTTGTGAGTAACTATAGCACATATAATCTGAAAGAATAGAGTTTTGATGTTGTAACCGAAAAAAGCATGATCCAAGAGCGATGAAATCCAACGGCTTCATGAGAAATGTTCGCACAGTTACGTAATCAGTACTTTACAGGAATTTTTGTTTATGTTAAGTCTTTTTTTTTTCAGAAAAGTGTGGATGGCTTTTATCATTTGGCACGTGCAAGCTATTGTGGTTACCATGTACATGTGTTCCGATATAGCCGTTGAGTCTCAATGTCCTTTGCTTAAGCTTTTTAACTGTCAACATTTTTTGCAACGGAGTGTAAATAAGCTTTCAAATTATGCCCTTTCTTTTCAACAGCCGTGAAGCTCCTCTCTTTGCTCATAAGATTTGCGGCTGTTACTGATCTTGAAAACAAAGGTACCCACCAACCCTTTGCCGGGGACTTTGGCCAAACTGCAGTATTCTGAGGAGATTTTGGCAAGTGCCCTTAATTGCGGAATCAAGGCCAGACCACAACACTGGGAGCTATGTTCCCTATTAAGAGACCCAAGGGAGTAGAATCAAATCTGAGCAACTAATTAAATGAATATGAAAGCGATCCTTTCAGTAATAAACACTGCTCGAGCAGTAGTGAAAATAAGGGTTGACAATATTTAGGCCTGTATATACCAGATCTGAACCCATGACCTCCACGATACCGGCGCAGTGCCATACCAACCGAGCTAACAAGCCAACTGGGAGCTGGTCATTATGTTGGTTCGTATTAAACTCGTGAGGTGATGAATAAATGATCGTGAATATTTGAAAATCATCTATGTGAACTGCGGGTTAAGATATGAATATGAAAGCGACCTTCGCAGTAATGAGACTCGCAGCAATAAGAGATTCGAGTAAAGATGTGTTTGCACTACAACAAGTTTAATTTGGTCTTCATTGCTTCTTCCTCACCAGTTTTCTGGTTTAAGCGAGGGCCTGTATAAACAACAACAAGGCCAGGCATAACGGGAGCTACGTTAGCACTCCATTCAAGAATTGCGTGGGTTCTGCTGGGGAGAAAATGGTTCTAACCCAACAGTTGGCTGGGCCAATGAAAATCCAATGAAAAGTAATTACAATTTACTTAAGAAATCTAATCATGAAGAATTTTTTTAAAAACCTGTGTGTTTGGTCCGGTCCGGGACTTAAAAACTATCGACCTCCCACACGGCACTCTGACAAGTTGCTGTAAGTAAATCTTTCAAATCGGTGCTGCATTAGTGGGTTGTTGCTGGGTTACCGTGGTGACGTCCTTGCTGCTTAGGAGATTTCTGCACCCGTCCTTCGTGATACGGCAACTATTCCATTACTTATAACTCACTACTACACGTTTGGCGAAAATTTTCTTAATCTAATAACCCACGCACTACTACAAAATAATTGAAAATGCTAACTATACTTCTCTAAACATTAATTGACCAAGATACCTATTCTTTTACGGGGTAAAGTTCTGTGTCTTTTGTTAAAGACGATTGCATACAAAAGTTCAAAGAAAATTAAATAGGTCAACGGATCGATAAATGAAAAAATTGAAAACAAAGGAAAAAATACATAGAAAGTAAAGATACATTTTTGAGCATACGCCATTTTCTCTTTGTAGTTACAAAGATTCACTGGGAACTATTGACTTTGCTGACGTGACTCATTGTAAGACAAGGGTTCAGGGTGCTCTATCAGGAATTTACAAGTAACGCGAACCAACTCATTCGCATTTGGTTTTTCCCTCACCTTTTCTTTCCAATAATTCTGCGTTGAAAATTCTCTAGTAAACTAAAGGAATGATAATGTGAAAGGAGAAGTGAAGGCTTCTCGAATGCAAATAACAAGGTTTTGTAAACAAAGCTGACGAAGCTGTGATCTATATGAAGCATGAGCAATCCTTCGGATGGTTGATTAGGATGCTATTGTAGCTTAATCAACCCTGACGCAATTGACGTCAAGATCAAATAGGGCAGGCCTCATCGCGGTAGCTGTACTGACACTCTTACTATTGTTCATCACGTTTGCAATTCTTACCTTCGTCGCTAAATATCGACCTGTGGCTGACTTGAGAAAGTTTCCAGGCCCGAAGCCAAGTATTTTATTTGTAAACACTTTGCAATTGACAGGTGAACCTCATGGTAAGTTTAGTTTAAAACCTCGGTTTAGCAGTGGCTTAGATGCATGATTCAAAAACATGTCCCTTTAGTTTGCGCCCGCGTCCGTCAGGTTTTCCTTTCTTAAAAAGTAACTATTTTAGGTTGAAGTGTAATACGTCTACTCCTTACATCTGCGATAGAAAATGAACAAAGTCATCTTCACCTAGCTTATTCAAGGTAGATTGATATGTTCGCGTGACTCGCACTGTTATTGGTTAGCGGGTTGACTCCTCCACCTGCCGTATAACGAGCTGTTGTCGGTGTTCGGCAAAAGGTAACACGAACCATGATCGAATATTTGGGTCCACACGCTCTACTAGAGTGGTTTGTAGCCAAACACAGATGAAATTCTCAACTCCTCTACTACTGCGATCTATTTCAACACTTAATCACCAAGAAGACGCATATAAGGTCTATGCGAATGAAGTCGAACCGTGGAGATCAAAACACCGAATAAACTCAACGCTTTACTTTATTCTAACTAGGAACAAAACCTCCATGGCGAATACTCGATCTACACAAGGCAAAAATCTCGAACGAAGTAAAAGTACTTGACATTTGATCCCTGTCACTCATTTTAAAAATACCATAAATGTAACGCAACGTCTCCTGAACAGTAATAATGAACGATTACGATAGCCATGGCGATAGCGATAACGTTGAGGACGACGGGAACGATACCGATGGTCTTAGCGATGATAATGATAACGATAACATCAATCAGCCAAACTTGACTATTCGCCGATGTGTGTGTTCTTTGCTTTTCCTGCCTCAAGTACACTACAAGATCGATCCTCGGGGGATACCCTGGATAGGAGGTGTCTTGTGGTTCTCTTAATTCACTCAGTAGAGACCAGTGTTCATTGGCGACCTTACCCTCCGAATTTGTCAAGCCAAACATTAGGATGGTACCTCTGGTTGACAGAGACTCATGCATTTTTTTTAATTTAACAACAGTTGTCTTCGCGAAAGTAAATCATTGGATGTATCATATATATCGGGAGGGAATCATGTGTCTGTGGCTGGGGCCTACTTATCCCTTGGTAATGATTTACAAGCCGGAATTCGCAGAGGTAAGTGCATTTAATTGCAAAAGAAAAACAGAAAGCGGGCGAGCTCATAATGTTTAAACATATTTTCTCTATTTTCAGGTCATCTTGAGCACCTCAAAACATATAACAAAAGCTCCAGATTACAGCTTGCTTCACCCTTGGCTCGGTACAGGTCAGTTGCTCAACTTAGCCTTGATACGACTGGCATACCTGTGTAAAAAAACATAATATTTTAGGAATTATAATTGTTGCCTTTGGAAACATAATTTCATGTTTTTTTTTCTCACTGGAAACTTGCACAATGAACATTTTACCACAAACATAATTTTTTTTTCTTGTTTCATCTTGGCTGATTTCTCGAGTTACACCCACGGCTATTAACAAGGTACGTAACATATGTTAGGTTTAAGTGTAAAAAATCCCCTGTTAACCTTTATATGATAAGCTGAGTCCTACACGGTACACAGTGCATGATTTATTGGCGAACATACCTATAGATGCTGTCACCATGAACAACAGCTCTTTCTAAATTGAACGACACAAAGCTCAATTACCACTTTATTACAGTCGTTTTGAAATCGCAAAATTCAGTCGCCCACATATAAGATTTTTTCAGTCTGCACAGTTTTTTATTGATCCAGTACCGAGCTGGTTTGTAACAATATCCTGCAATTTTATTGGTTACTTTAAACAAGCCTTGAAATCTGGTTGGTTGTTGTGTACATCTTATCGCCTTTGTTCTTTCGTTTTCAACTTTCAGGTTATAGATGAACGAATTCGCGAAAGATCAAACAAGATAGCGAAAGAGAAAGAGGAGAAGAGTGGAGACGAAAATGATTTCAAACGAAAGAAGCGCCTGGCCTTTCTCGACCTGTTACTTGATGCTTATGACAACGGAGAAATATCAAAGGAAGGCATCAGGGAAGAAGTAGACACATTTACCTTTGAGGTTTGAGGAAATTTAATACCATTGTGGCTTTTGAATTTTGTCTTAGTTTTTTTCAGTGTATCATGGCCACCAGTAATGTGTGAAGGATCACTTGCTTCTTCCTTCCCTCCCCCCTCCTCTCAACCCCCCTCCCGATAGAAGTGGTCAAATTAGCCAGTAGGCGCCAGTCACTTTCTATTGCCAGGGGGGTGTAGGAGTTTGAGAGATAGGATCATATACTTTGCAGGGAAAACGGAGGGGACCAGTCGTCGCCAACAGAGTATAGAAGGGTGGACTACAAAAAATTAACGACTGCCAACTAACTGCTGATGAGGGGGAGGTGGGAGGATCATAACAATATTACAAAGCCTTACTGGGGGATCGGGTAAAGTTTATCTTGACGTAGTCAAAATCCTCTATATCCCCTCCCCCCTTCCACTCCCCAAGTGAGAAATAACCACCGGTCCGTTAAGATATTCCATTTGTTCATCATCCCACAGGGACAAGACACCACTGCAGGTGGTATGACATGGGCTTTGTACCTCCTCGGACGCCATCCTGACATACAGAAAAAAGTTGTACATGAAGTGGATTCCTTTTTCGGTAAGCACTTAATTTCCCAGACTATTGTGTCATCCCGTCTCCTCGCCCCAGTCACCTCGGGGTATTGGAGAGAGGAGACGGCTGGCTGGTACTTCAGACTCTTATAGTCCACTTCTCTCCGTTTAGTTCTAGCTATAGTCATACAATCACGTCAATTTGCATTCGATGTATTAAATGTCAGTTTGCACAGCAACAATGAGAGCAGAGGTGATAAATTAACAACTATGGCGACCAAAGCAAACAGTCAGATCTCTTTGCCAAAACTAGCCTTTAGTTCTCTAATAAAATGCTATTTTCCACAAGATTGCCCATGCTAAGAGATAATTTCATGTTAAAAGTCATGTCGTGACTATTTTTTGAGAGTTGTGTGACAACCTCGTTTTGAAAATCGTGAGAGCCTCGGTTCCAATGACGGGCCTCGTGAAAATAACGCATCGGTGACGTTTTTGTTCTGTTCTTTGTGAGAGAAGAGATTGTTGAGTTCTAAACAAGATTAAGCTTTAGTGAGTTATTTATTTGGTATGACTCGAAGAGCACTTTTGTTTCCCACGGTCACTCTTACTTCAAAATCTGCCCATAATGCTATTTGCTAGTTTCTTTCTTAAGCCCTTCTGCACGCAAGACGAAGCGCATCCCAAAAGTACGGCCTCGAAGAAGACTATCAAATAATTTGCTGTGCTGAAATGATTGATGTTCGCTCAAAGGATGTCGCTCGCTCGGTAGAACATTCTTTCACTGGTATATTTTTTCGTCAAATGTTCGGTCTCACATTCGTTTGTCCTCGTCCGTCAGGTTGCCAAACCCCTCCGCATATATCTTTGTGGTTTCGTTCCTAATTGTTCATCTACCCACTCGACCAGCTTACTTGTAAACATGATATTTTTCTTATTTCCCAGAAACTCGTCCAGACACTGTAACGGTAGAGGACGTCAAGTTCCGTTACCTGGAGTGTGTCCTCAAGGTATCGCCAACACAAAATAGTTAAACAAAACTCAAAGTTAAAAAATAAACATCGCTCTGATGAAGGGCTAACGCTCGGAACGTCAGTTTTAGAAACTCACCCTAGTGGACAATTGACCCCATTTGGTAAAACTATGTTATCTCGTGGTACACCCATCGGCGAAGCTCCACACTTTTTAAGAAACTTACTCCCTTTTTCATAAATTAGAACTAACCGTGTTAACATACGCGTACATTCCATCTTGAAAATAGTGTGACTTTAACATTTTGCATATCTGCCATAAGATGGTAATGTGGTGATGTATCCTTTCAGGAAGCTCAAAGGATATTTCCATCTGTGCCATTCTTCTCAAGGTTGACCACTGAGAACTGTGAACTGGGTTAGTTACACTGGCTTCGACTGGGTTTTGATGTTGTTGTTGTTTTGGCTATAGACATAAAACTTTCCCTACTTGTGATAAGTAGAAATTGGGAGCACGTAGCCACCTAATTATGTATCTTTGTCCGTTACCTTAGGAGGGTACTTTATTCCTAAAGGAACCACTATTGGAGTATCGACTTTACAGCTTCACAGGAACTCGGAAATGTGGCCTGAACCCTGCAAGTTCAACCCTGATCGTTTTCTTCAAGAAAACATTCAAGGACGGAATCCGTACGCGTTTATTCCTTTCTCCGCCGGACCAAGGAACTGCATCGGTAGGCTCGCCAAGGGTTCGTTTCACGATCAGATTAGTTTGAGGGGCTTAAAAAGGCAAGGTGACAGAGGCTAACAGAAAGACGGACAGAGAGCAAGCGCAATAATTGAGTGACACAGGAAAAAGTAGACTGGCAGTCAGTTAGACAAACAGACAGAACGGACGCTCTACCTTGTGTTTCAGCGGACTCGTATTGACGCGAGAACGAGCAGGAAATGGAGTATCTAGCATTGAAAAGTTTAATTCAGGCAGATTATTTGAACTTACGCGTTGTCGAAAACCAGAGTTATTAGTATAGGGTCTGTATCATTTCGCAAAGGGAAGTGAGTGCACGATGAACCCAGGGCTCTCCCAGGATAGACACACACCGAGCAGTCCGACAGAAGATAGAAAGACGAGAAAAATGACTCGCGTCAGCAAAGCGGCAAATGGGAAGATGGGCCTAACTTGCAAAAAAAA